CAGTTGAAGGGATTCTTGTGTCTCAGTCTACCAAAGTGCTAGGATTACACTGTGAACCACACGCCAGGCCTGTTTTGTTTTTAAACAGAGCTGCCAATGTTTCTTAAGAAATCCTGTAAGGTGTGAGGAGGTAGAGAAAAGCAGACACGTGAGACAGTCGGCGTCAGACTCGGACCTAAGTCAGAGCCAGATTTGGACTTTACGAAGCCCATCTGCTTTTTTTGTTTTTGTTTTTTTGAAATGAGGTCTTGCTCTGTGGTCCAGGCTGGAGTGCAGTGATGTGATCAGGGCTCACTGCAGCCTCAACCTCCCTGGTTCAAGTGATCCTCCCGCCTCAGCCCCTCGAGTAGCTGGAACCACAGGCATGCACCACCATGCCCAGCTACGTTTTCAGTTTTTGTAGAGATGAGGTCTCGCTGTGCTGCCCAGGCTGGAGGAAGCCCATCTTGGCAGTGGTGTGGATGATGACAGCCAGAGACCTTGCTGGGCACTGGCAACAAGACAGAGATTGTGAGGGAGGCAGCATTGAACTTGGAGACAAAATGTACTTGGTGTTAGGCCTGAGCTTCTGGGGCCATGTGGGGTGGAAGAGAGGCCCCCTTCAGTTGCCTAATCCTGCAGATTGTTTCGGGGTGCATCCTCCTTTCCTCCTCCTCGTTCTGAAGCCTGGCTCCATCATTCCCCCCACAGCTCACAGGCCAGGCCGTGTCCAGCCCAAAGTTAACAGTGATGGCCTCCTTTCTCCAAATGCATCAGCCTGCCTCTGCCTGCGTTTTGGGGCCCCTGCCTCTTCACACTGGTTTCCTAGTATCCTTCTACATGCAGCCTGTCCTCTGGTCAGGCCACCTCCTCAAAGAGCGGGATGAGCTGAGCTCACCCCAGTCTTTCTCTCACCGGCACGGCTTGCCTCCCATTCCCCACCCCCCGCCCCGACAGCAAGCCCTGCCTCTCCCACGGAGCCGTCTGCTTCCCTCTCCTCATCTCATGGCCGACCTCACTCCATGCCTCTCAGAGCACACTGAAGAGCTCAGACAGGGACTCCTCATGTCCTGCCTCCCACCTTCCCGCGGCTGAACCGCACCCTGTACCTTGCCTCCTCCGGCCAGCCGTGCCGCGTCCACCCTGGAGCCCATCGCCTCTCGCTGTCTCTGGACTTCCCTCCTGCAGCTGCCCCTCTCCACTGGGCCATTTCAGACATATCAGGAAAACTAGTATCTCTAATGTCTGGGTAAACTTCTTCTTGATGCTCATAAACCCCCTTAATTGCTTCCCCAAGTTCCCAGCTCCCCTTCACAGCATAATTTCTTGGAAGAATTGACTGTAGTTAGTCCTCATGTCCCCTTCCCATTCTTTCCTCAGCCCAGTCCAGCTGGGTTTCCTTTCCCACTTGTCCCCAAAACAGCTCCTGCCAAGATCACCCATGGTTGGCAAATCCATCTGCTGCTGAAAGGTCGTCTTCTGCGGCCTCTCAGCGATAGTCAACACTGCCCTCTCCTTGAAGCGTCTCTGACTCCACTGCCTGGTCCCCCTGCTCCTTCACCGGACCCTCCCTCTCCATCCCATTTGCTGGACTGTCTTCTAGCTGAGCTCCTAAAGGCTGATTTCCTCTTCAGTGCTCAGTCCCTGAGCTCTGTCATTTATCTACGTGCTTTCCTGGATAATCTCATTCGATTCTATGGCTTTTCTTTGTGAGGCAGTGTCTTGCTCTGTCCCCAGGCTGGAGTGCAGTGGTGCAGTCTTGACTCACTGCAACCTCTGCTTCCCAAGATCAAGTGATTCTCCTGCCTCAGTCTCCCGAGTAGCTGGGATTACAGGTGCCACCACCACACCTGGCTAATTGTGTGTGTGTATCTTTAGTAGAGATGAGGTTTTGCCGTGTTGGGCAGGCTGGTCTTGAACTCCTGAACTTGGGTGATCTTCCCACTTCGGCCTCGCAGAGGCTGGCATTACAGGCATGAACCACTGCACCAAGCCAGTCTGTACCTTTAAATGCCATTAACTTGACGGTGACTTTCACATTTGTGTCTCCAGCTCAGCTCAAATTCATATCTGTCTACTCACTTTTCCACTTTGATATCCAATGTAACTTGTCCAAACTGAGAATTGATTCTCCCACCCTCCCTATACACACTTTCCCAGCCCACCCTGTGGGGCACTACGGCACCATCCTGTACCCGTTAACTTTCCCTCTCTCCTCACACCTAAGCATTTCAGGATTCCTACCGAACTGCCTAATTGAACTGTGAAGATTTCATGAGACAATGCTTGTGGTTCACTCAACACAATAAATGCTGGAGAGAATGTAGCAGTTAATATTATTGCTATTTTCTTCCTCAAAAGAGGATGGACTGTCTCTTAAATCACTGAGGTAAAGATGGAATTTTTAAGAATAATGCTGGGATGAGCAGTTCTCCATCTGGGGAAAGAAGGACAGTGTGTAGCATCCGGTGAGTCAGGGGACGGCGCAGCAGGACACAGGGGACAGTGGACACGTCAGGAACGGAACATGCCTATTGCCTGATCCAGAAAGGGGTCCTGATCCAGACCCAAGAGCGAGTTCTTGGATCTCGCACAAGACAGAACTTGAGATGAGTCCATAAAGTGAAAGCAAGTTTATTAAGAAAGTAAAAGAATGGGGAGGCCGAGACGGGTGGATCACGAGGTCGAGAGATCGAGACCATCCTGGTCAACGTGGTGAAACCCCATCTCTACTAAAAATACAAAAAAATTAGCTAGGCATGGTGGCACGTGCCTGTAATCCCAGCTACTCGGGAGGCTGAGGCAGGAGAATTGCCTGAACCCAGGAGGCGGAGGTTGCGGTGAGCCGAGATCGCGCCATCTTGGGTAACAAGAGCGAAACTCTGTCTCAAAAAAAAAAAAAAAAAAAGAAAGAAAGAAAGAAAGAATGAAGAATGGCTACTCCATAGACAGAGCAGCCCCAAAGCCTGCTGTTGCCCATTTTTATGGTTGTTTCTTGATCATATGCTAAACAAGGGATGGATTATTCGTGCTTCCCCTTTATAGACCATATAGGGTAACTTCCTGACATTGCCATGGCATTTGTAAACTGTCTTGGCACTGGTAGGAGTGTGGCAGGGAGACGACCAGGGGTCAATCTCGTGGCCATCTTGGTTTTTGTGGGTTTTGGTCAGCTTCTTTACTGCAAGCTGTTTTACCGGCAAGGTCTTATGACCTGTGTCTTGTGCCAACCTCCTGTCTCACCCTGTGACTTGGAATGCCTTCACTGTCTGGGAGTGCAACCCAGTAGGTCTCAGCCTTATTTTACCCAGCCTATATTCAAGATGGAGTTGCTATGGTTCAAACACCTCTGACCCCCAATCACCTCAGCAGCCCTGGATGTCTCCTACCAGATTCTTCTGTGGCACTAAACAGCCTCTGGTGCCAGGGGCAGAGCATCCCAGAGGCTCAGCTGGGTCCACTGCCGGGGGAGGGGACATTGGAAATCCCGGCACCACTGGCCCAGCACCCGCTGCCTATCAGACAAAGTCGGCTGTCAAATTCAGCTCTATTTCTAAATACAATTACTCCTCAGTTTATGACAGGTTACATCCCAGGAAATGCATCGTGAGTTATAAAAGTGATGAGTCAAAAATGCGCTTACTCCGTCTAACCTGCTGAGCACCGTGGCTTAGCTAGTTTACCTTGAACCTTCTCAGAGACAATTGCTTACAGCTGGGCGAATCATCTAATACAAAGCCCTTCTCATCATAAAGTCATTCCCTGCCTTTCTTTCTCTTCCTTCCTTTCTTTCTTTTTTTACTAGAGAGAGGTTTCACCATGTTGGCCAGGCTAGTCTCAAATTCCTGAGCTCAAGTGATCCACCTGCCTTGGCCTCTTAAAGTGCCAGGATGACAGGTGTGAGCCACCATGCCTGGCCTATAATAAAGTGTTGAACATCTCATGTAACTTGAACACGATACTGGAAGTGAAAAGCAGAAGGGTTGCACGGGTGCTTGAAGGATGGTTTCCGCTGGGCACGGACTGCTTTCACACCACCATAAAGTCGAAAAATCGTGGGTGGAAACATCGAAGTCAGGGACTGTCCCCACTTCACAATCAGCTCAGAGACCTGGGAGGGTGAGGCCGGCCAGAGCCAACTTTCAGGCCACTGGTTTTCAGCATGAAGGAAATGGTCCCATGGCACGAATTGTTGGGGGACTGATAACCATCTGTTGCCAAGGTAACCATTCTTCCAAGAAGGTCAAACAGAGAAGCCACTCAGACAGTCAATAGTGATGTAACTGTGAACCCACCGGTTATCTGGCGTCAAGTCAAACAGCACAGCCAAAGCCTGTACACAGTTTTCTCTTTGCCTGCAACTTTCTTAAGAGTTCAGACACGGGAACCTTGTCCGCACCCCCGGCCTTTATAGCCAGAGGGAGTGGCGGTATTTGTCACTGTGCCTGGGAAAAAGAGGCCCTTTGTGGAGCAACTTGAGAAGGCTCCTGTGCCAGTCTCCCGCTCCCAGCCCTTGTCAAAGCTGCGGAGGGGAGCCCAGAGAACAGCCTGTCAACTCTTTTCAGGGCTGGGAAAGTCAGGCTTTCTGTCGCCTTGGCTGGGCTGAGGGACTTGGATCCCTGGTCGTCAGCCCAGGATTTGCAAAGACGGATGGGAAACGTCAGACCTTTCACTGGTTGAGAACTGGGGACTTTCAGAGCTGGAGGAAACCTTGACAGACCTTGTGTGCAGTCACCCTGCTCCCCTACTGATGAGAAGCGGAACCTGGCAAAGCTCACACAGCTCCGAGCCCAGCACTCTCGCTGCCAGAGGCAGAAGCTGAGAAA